CAAAGTTGAATAGTTTTTGCTGAAATTTCTAAATTTTGGGTATCAAAGTCTGTTCTAAATTGAAATGGAAATGTTATTTCTTCATTACTAAGGCACATATTTGTAAAGTCAATATTTAAATTATTTTCTTGTAAAGCTTTAATTCCTATAATACCGTCAAAATAATCATGAAAATTATACATTATCATGTCAATATCTTGATCAATATTAAATTCATGTAAAATTGGAATTCTCACTTTACTGTGGGCTTTTCTTGTTCCCATACATGTAGTAAGTTAATTTAAAGAGTTCACTATAAAATCTGGGAAGTATTCTTCCGCTATTGAAGGTCTTATTAATGAAGCATAACTACCTGTGTCTATTAAAAGCTTACAAGGTGGATCGAAAGTTTCAATAAAAGGTAGTTGATTGACTTGGTATGCATTTAAAGTCAATGCTGATTGTTGGATTCCAAGGCTAGTGTCTGAAAATTTTCATCAGGGCTTTCTTGGTAATCTTGACTTATTTGTCATTTATTTCTGAGTTGTCGGATATTTCTCCGAATTCTGAACTTTCATAGTTCTCAGAAGTTTCGTCTGGTTCTTGTAATTGAATTCCATATATATTATTTATTTCTTCAATGGTGTATTTTGAAGGACCTGCATTGGGATCTGGTCAAAAATAATTTGATTGTTGGGGTTGAAAGCCTCTTGAAAAATTCCGTCTATTGATTTGGGAATCTTGTCTTCTTGGTTGAATAGATACGCCAGACATAGGTGTCGGTTTTGTTGAGGGAAGGTTATTGTTTGATTTAAAAACATTTGTTTTGTTGTAATTTTTATCAAACGTACCCGAACTAGTAGGGAATTTATGAGTCATTGCTTTTGGCAGTAAGTTTATTGGTTGTGAAGGAAATTGTGGCTTCACATGGAAATACGGGTTTTGTTGTCTTTGTTGTTGTGTATTATTTTGTTGGTGTTGAAATGTTTGATTATTGTTTGTCTTAAAATTCGAAAAGGAATTATTTTGATTTTTGTTAAATTTCATATGATTCTCAGGCATCTGATAGTTTAGTACAAAAGATGTTGCTGCGTCTAATGTTATAGGATACTGAACCATTAAAATTGTTCTAAGCTCGACTGGTGAATTTGTTATCAAATTCTGTACCGCTGTAACTACATTTTGAGCTACAAGAATATTTGCAACTGCTAACAAATTACTGTCACACATTATCTTTGAAGTAATTCGGTGATTAAGAGCTTTGCTTTCAATCTTTCTAAATATTCATAAATTGATTCCTTTTGGTTTCTTGATGCATACATTAATTCTTGAATCAAATTTTGACGAGAATAAAGATCTCTATATTTAATTCTTAGAGCACCCTTAATATCTATCCATGAATTTAAATCTGGACGTGTCATCAGAAAATTTCCAGCATCATTGATAAGCTTTGATTTTATCGGAGTTATCACATATACTACATAATAAGTGTGATAAAATTCATCAATATTACTAATGAAATACTCCAGATATTGAGTTAGTAGATATAGTATATGCGTTCTACGCCCTCCGACGCCTCCGTGACGTCTGCGCATGCGCCAACCAGGGCGTCGCCACGCCGTGACGTCATTAGTCAGCTGTCATCTGTCAGTCAGCTGTCAATGTCACCTGTCAATGTCACCTGTCAATATCAGTCACCTGTCAATGTCAGTCACCTGTCAATGTCATCTGTCAATGTCAGTCAGCTGTCAATATCAGCTGTCAATGTCATCTAACCCAATCTACCTGAACTACTCCAACTTACCCAAACTGCTCTCTGATGCGCCATCTATAAACCCCGTATAACATTACACCTATGTGTATTTTTTATATTTCTACATGTATTTATACAGATGAAAAAATACGTGAAATTAAACATGCATTAATACATGAAGAAATATAAATAAAATAAACATATGGGCTTAAGAGAAAAAATACTAACCTCAAACAATTTTTTATTTAAAAACATACATTTTTTAGGACTCAACTATTTCAAAAAGCGATATTTGGTTTGGTCGTCCTACATCCTTCTGGCCTCTGTATATTATTGAATATTTTCCATCCATAAACTGCTCAATATGATCTTCCAATGATTTGGTGGTACGTTTTTAAGAAACACTGCCTTATCGTCAAGTTCAATGAGGATGCTCGGTCCGAATTTACTTTGGGTTTTTTTAGCAGAAAATATTGGGTACTTTCTGCCAGGCTCCATGTCTTGTAATTTCACAAGTGTTTTTTGATCTCTGAAGAGGCAGGTCTCGTTGATTGATTTCAAATCCATATCTAAAAAATATTCTGTAGGTATTCATATTAGTATATAAAAGATTTACTTACTTGTTAAAAAAAAATGTTGTGCAATAATTTTATAATAATTATAATGTCCACTGTTGGCGAGATCGAAAAAGAAGCTCGAGTATCATAAAAACCGATTTAAACCTCAACGTACATACAATAATAATTATTTCAGCAGTGTTTGTTTTACAATGACCTCCAAACGCGTCTCGAGTACCACATTTAACTATAGTCCGACACGAGATCCGTTCTGGAACGGTAATTTCCAGTCAATCAATTAATTTGGTCGTTAAAGATAAAACGTTCAACTTATGAAAAAATAGGAGAACATCTGGAATTTTTTTGGCTCTGGACCGGATCTTGTGTCGGATGGAACAGAGCCAATGACTAGATAAAATAATACACATTTATAAAAATCGGGTTTTTTTATTTATTTTAATTTTTTTTTATTATTTATTAATTTTTTTAGTTGGAGTCTGGAGGCGGAGCATTCAGGATGGTCTGAAAATAATAAACATATTAGTATAGGTATCTGCTTCAAATATTTTATGCTTACAATTTGTAGAGTTCCTCCGACTACAGCCGCCTCAAACTCAACACCCCACACCGTCATTAAAAAGGGTGTGGGAAGGGCCTCTCCCACCATCCCTCTCCTTATCTATACCGTGTGAATTTGAAAAAAATATGTGAAAATTGAAAACTTAAATGAAAAATACTATTTCGCTATTACTTACGGTGATGGCGGATTGGGCCTCCCAAATTAGCTTGCAGTTGTCTGCGATGTTGTGAGACATTTCAAGCTGTAAGATTATATTATCAAATTTAATATTTTATGGATATAAGATATGAAAAAATTGTAAAACTGATGTTTAAAATATCCCACAATGAGAAACTTAATATTTTAATATTTTATGAATATCGGGTAACACAATAAATAGGACACAACCTAAGTTGTTGTTGTTGGGGTATTTTTCATCGGATTTTGAGAATGTTGATATAATAAAATAGGGAAAAAAATCTCTTTTCAAAATGTTAATAAGGTCCGGCATGGTTGCATTTAAAAAAAAAAAAAAAATTGGGATATTTTGACAAAACCTCTTTCTTTAATTTTTGAACTAAAATTCTACCACCGTTCAGGTAGGAAAAAATTGAAGTTATAAATTTTTCTGAAAATTTCCTTCAGGTGAAAATACAGAGGCGTCTGGCAATTTTGGGACCAATAGGAAGCGAATTACAGCGATAATTTTGCACGAGTGCAAATTATCGATATACCTGACTCAACGAGTTATAATCAGTTTTGTACAGAGTAAATTAGACACAAATTATCAGCTTTCTATACAGTAGATTAAACTGTTTCCAAATCGATGTTTGAGATCTCTTCGTATTGATTGGCGTAAGGTCTTCGATAGTTTTATCGATATCCGCCGCTGAACTCTTCCCAAAACAAGCCATTTTTGCTTACAAATTCGGAATTATTTTTTAAATGAAACTTTTGACAAATTTGTCGATTGACAACATAGCAACATAATGATTGTTTAAAACAAGGTCCCTAGTAAAATACTGCGAACAGGTATAAAGATTCAGGAAATTTTCTTATAAAATATAACTCGTGCAATGAAAATATATCTATAATTTTTGAAAAATTTGTTCTCGTGCGTTTTTAACTGAAAAAGGCACTCTCGTGCACTTTTTCAACTAAAAATGCATTCGGGCAATTTTCCCAAAAATTGTCGATAATTTTCATTGCACTTGTTATATTACTACTGATAATTAGAACATTCAACTAAATCAATTTACACCAGTGGAAGCGCCAATTGTTTTTTATTTTTTTTTAATTAATTCATTTTTTTTTCCTATCAAACGTAAAATGATCTATTGATATCAGAAAGAAAAAGAAGTTGTAAAATACCGGGTATTGAAAATTGAAAATTTAAATTATCATGACGTTAGGTGTCAAAAAGTGACAAATGAGGTGTCGTTGAACGCAGAATGTCATTTTTTATCAAAATAGGTGAAAATATACCGGGTGGCCCATTTAAAATAAGAAAGTTAGGGTGGTTTCCGGTCAAACCGTAAGTTACAGAAATTAATTGAGTATGTCAAATAATGCATATTTTTGTAAAATACTTATGCACCAAGTTTCATTTGTTTTTATTAAAAATCAAAAAAGTTATAGGGGCGAGCCACTTTCCTGGGACACCCTATAATTATTGGGTTAGTCTTAAAAATGATATTGTTAAGGCAAAATAAATGTTTCATATTTTTATGTCATAAAAAGCTAATTGAACCGATTTACGAAATTTTAAATAATTGAGAAATAGTTTATTGAAGCATACTAAAAGATTTTTGACGATAGTTGACAGTTACCAAAATGTATCAATGAATTGTTGGCCTAGTAGTTAGTGTGATTATTTCACGAAATTTTAGTTTTTCAGTTATTGAAGCTCTTGAAATTACTGAAACCATTATTTTTAACTTACTTATAGTTATCAAAGTTTTTGAAAGTATCAACTATTGTCAAACAAAGTAAAAACTGATAATACAAAATTAGAATAATTTAAATGTGACAAGCAATTTAATTTTTATGACATAAAAAACCCCTACCCGGTGCCTCTGGACAGAGAGCTAAAACTATATTCTATATTTTTGAAACCAAATTTTTCTGTTTTTTTATTATCAAAAGGGGATTGTTATGGCAATATCTTATTCGGTTTTTTTTGCACTAGTCTATAGCAATTATAAACATACGCTTTTATTGTAACCCATTTTCGGCCTTTAAACACTTTTGGGTATTCTTTTATTAATAGTTCAACTTCATGCTTTTTAGGGGCGATCTTTTCTTTTATATGTTTAGCAAAAAAACTTCTTAATATTTTTGCTTGGGTTTCATTCCACGCCTTTCTTTTTAGTTGTGGTTCGCATATTTCACCGTCTAAAAAAAAACAATTTTATTGCAAAGTTGAATATTTATATCTTTTGACATATGTGATATTGCCCGAAAGCCCATGTAATCAATATTCTGGAGGCTCCTCACCAGCAATCATTGATAAATTAGCAGCATTTGATTGTGAGTTTGCGATCTTGCGCAGGGTATTGTTGCTGTAATTTCATACACGCTGGTAAGGGGATAACCAGAAGACTGATGGTTTGAATCTAAAGTCTAAAGCAGAAGTCTGCATGTTTTTTAGATAATATTTTACTTTAGTCTTTATCATTTATTTAAATCGATTACCAACTCACCTGCACTTGAACCGCTAGAATATTTACTTGAATCACTATATGGAATTCTTTTTTCAGTTACTGCTGGAATTGTAACTGGTTCGTTATAAATTCTACTAGGACCTGGCACATCATAAGCCGCGCTAGGAGATTCAGATAACCTGGTTTTGGAACGTTTGATAGTTCTTTTTGTGGCACTAACATTAGCGTCTTCATGGTCCGAGTTATCTGAGTCGACATTATCAGATAAATCAATTTCATCTAGGGTCTTGCCTTTATATTGGGCTCCTTTACCATTGTTTATAGCGATAAGTATTTTCGATACTTTAGCTGTTTGGTATACGTCCTGTGGTAATCTGAACAAAAAACAATCGTTACAATAAGAAGTCCAATAAGCAAAGTTTTTTTCCAGGAAAAAAATGTAGAAGTATTTTTATTAACGGTTCTACATGTTTTTTTGGGGTGCTGAATCCGAATCTGAGGTTTGCCACCTCGCCAGGCGTCGGCTTCACAACGAAAACCCAAAAAACCTTTAATTCTGCGTACCTACTTGTTTCAGATTTTTGACTAAATGTCGAAAACTAAACGTTTTTCGATTATAACTATGATACACCAAATTGAAGTAGACAAAATTTTCTACAAGAACATATAGTATACTCTCAAGTTTGAACAATCCATAACGTCGTTATATCGTGTTGAAAAAACGGCGTTTCTATGCTATAAACAACGCCGCCTCGTCGTTTTTTTCATACTTCCCGACTAGGTAGAGGGTTGAAATTTTCAGGGGAGCTAGAACATTGGATTCTGTCGAGCCAAAATAATTTTCGTGCCCTCCCTTCTTCCGAGGCACCCGGGGTGGAGCTGTCAAAGTTTTGACCTTCGGGCCTTCCACAACCCGAACGGTTGGAGGTGCAAAGATGAAATTTTGCAGAGAGTTAGAGAAAAACTAGATATCGCGATCGTCTGGGGAGACGATTTGAAAAAAAATATATTGAAGGTAAGAAAAACCTAAGAAACGCGTGTATGGCTTGACCTCTCCAGTCCCTGGGCTATGCTGAAACTCGGAATATTAGCTTTTCCAGACCTCTTTTACCAGGGTACTCGGTTCTGTTGAGGAGAAAAAACTTTTTCAGGGTTTTTATGCTTTTCTCACCCCACTGATTTTTTTTTTAATCGTTTACCCAGCCGATCGCAAGATTTTCTTTTTCTCTACGCCTCTACAAAATTTCATCTCTGCACCTCCAACCGTTTGGGCTGGGGAAGGCCCGAAAGTCAAAACTTTGACAGCTCCCTCCGGACGCTCCCGGTAAAGGGAGGGGAACGAAAATTGTTTTTGCTCAACATAATTCAATGTTCTGAAAGTTTCAGCCCTCTACCTAGTCGGGAAGTATGAAAAAATCGACAAGGCGGCGTTGTTTATAGTATAGAAATGCCATTTTTTCAGCACGATATAACGACGTTATGGATTGTCCAAACTTAAGAGTATATTATATGTTCTTGACAAAAATGTTGTCTGCTTCAATTTGGCATACGATAGTTATATAATCAAAAAACGCATAGTTTTTGAGATATAGTTAAAAACCTGAAGAAAGTAGGGATAATTTAAGGTTTTTCGCGATTTTCGTTGTGAAGCCGACGCCTGGCGAGGTGACAAACCTCAGATTCAGCACCCCAAAAAACATATGGAACCGGTGAGAAAAAAAGTTCTACATTTTTTTCCTGGAAACCGCGTTCTGAACCTTGAATTACTGAACTAAAAGATAACATTGCCATTTCGCCAATGCGGTTCAAGAATTTCAGAATCTAAAATTTTAATAATTCGCAGGGACAACCAAACCTCTCAAAACCAATTTAAATTTGAAGATCATTACCAGTTTTTTTTTTGCGTAATGAATAATGTAAAAAAACAAGGTTTATTTCAGCTTTTCTAAGGGTGAGCTAATATTTTCTAATTTCTGCACCAGTCATAAGACTCGCTAGGCAACTTGAATTTAAACCACATTTCATTTTGGTATTTAGCCGCGATTATGCAGAATACCTGAAGCAACTCAATAAGAGTCATCTCCTTAATGAGTAAGCTGGGTCAAGTTCCCCCCCCACCATTCAGTTTTGTACTGTTGCTCAATTGTGCTCGTTTTGTGCTCAATTGTGCCGATGTAATTGGAAATTGTGCTCTTTTCCATATAGCGAAATAAATTGAAGCAAATCCAAGGGCCAGCTTGACCCCATTCCCCCCATTTTTTGACTTTTACGCAATATTTTTGGTTCATTCAATTGTGCTCGTTTTGTGCTCAATTATCCCGGTGTAATTGCGAATTGTGCTCTTTTCCATGTAACAAAAAAAAAAACCTAAACAAATCCGGGGGCCAGCTTGACCGCCAGCCCCTTATTTTCTGACTTCTATGCAATATTTTTACAGAGTTTTTGTTTTATGAAAAAGAGCAGAATTCGCACTTACACCGGCACAATTGAGCACAAAACGAGCACAATTGAACTAGCCAAAAGTATTGCAAAAAAATCAAAAAAATGGGGGACTGTCGGTCAAGCTAGCCCCCGGAGTTGTTTCAATTTTTTTTTTTTTTGGTATATGGAGAGGAGAAGAGCACAATTCGCAATTACACCGGCACAATTGAGCACAAAACCAGCACAATTGAATGAGCCAAAAATATTGCAAAAAAGTTTAAAAAACGGGTGGCTTATTGGGTGAAGCTGGCTCCCGGATTTTCTTCAATTTTTTTTGGTACCGTTATCGAAAATAGCACAATTCACAATTACATCAGCACAACAGGTTATTTTACAATTATTCGATTTTGTAATTAGTTGCGACAAGTGACTTAGATTCGAAGACTGCCTTGAATTGGATTACTTTGGGATGTTTTGCAAATATTCAATGTTTTATTTTGACCCAGAGCCAAAATATAGTAATTATGCACAAAATATACCTTATTGAATTAATTTCACGTTACTAATTACTTCGAAAGTCCAACTGTCTGACACTAATCTCGGCATTTGTCAAAATACAAGTGCAGAAACAAATGATCATTTGCCTAAATTTGCTTTACATTAATCATTTATCCATGACGAGACTTACCTATAGTACTCCTCATGAGTTTTTTTTGTGTGCCCCATGAAGTTTGCAAATTGTTCCATTTCAGATTCACCAATATTCATAACTTGAAGAACAGTGGCAATTTGTTTTCTAAGTCTTGTTGATGTAAACAGGTCCTTATTTGAAACACCCGATTGTTGAGCTAGCTTTTTTAAAACATGGTATCCACTAAGCCATCTACTATCAGTTTTGGGATTAGCAAATAGGTAGTTATTTTCTTTTGAAACGCATTCAGATCGTACAGACAACATAAAATCAATTAGTGATTGGATTTTTTTAGGGAACAAAATTACTACAGGTTTACTTCCCTTTCCCCCTGTGACTACTCTTTTGAAGTTTCGAGTTAAAATTTTTTCATTTTCGGTTAAAGAATCAATAATTTCCTGCTGGTGGTTTGAGGGAATGTCATTTTGATAGGTGTCTTTTTTTAGGAACTGTATTTCGCCTATTCGTTTTCTGTTGAGGAGAAGCGTCAACGCCATGATACACTCTGTTAATCTACGAAAATTAACCTCTAACTCTCTTTTAGCTTCAATATTCGCACATGCATTTTCAGCTTCATTTATTACGTATTTTTGAAATTGCATAATTTCTGAGGTTAGCGGATACATTTTTGGTTTCTCCCACTGCTTTTCGTTTAAATCTTTGAGAGCCAAACTCGATATTTCGGAGTTCCAATGACCTACTATTAGTGATCGTAAACGTTTAATGTTTTTAAGTGTTGCTTCAGGATCTTTACATTCCAAAAATCGATGTTTTTTGATAATCAACTTAGTAGCAATGTCGCAAACTTGAACCAACCTCGTACTCATGTGAAGGGCTAAGCTTGGAGCTCTAAAGTTTTTATTAGCTTCATTGTATCCACTTATTACTTTTGTTGCTGTAACAAGATTGTCAAAAAACTCTGGTTTTAAAATATCTAAAAACCTATGGCAACCAGTCATTTCTTTTAGGACTAATAATAGTCTGCCTAACTCCCTGAGTTTATTGGAAACCATTGTGGCCAGTTGCACCCGCTTATGTTTCTTCAATTGACTTTCACCATAGCTACATATCAATATGTCACTCATTACGACTTTAGATACCTCATCTACGCGCATTTTATTGAGTACTTCTTTTTTCAGTCGTAAAGAGTCGTAAAATTCTTTGTAAATGCCGGAACAAATAACAAAAGCCTGCGACTCTGATTGGTGGTTTTCTCTTTGCTTTTGAGGACAACTATTCATTTGACATTTTTTTCTATGCTTCTTCAAATATTGTTTTTTAAAAAAACCGAGGCAATAGTTGCATGGGAGATATTCTCCGTTTTTAGCATTTCTTGGTCTTTTCACAGGCCTCAATTTTATATTTTCTTTATCAAGAGCAAAATTGCCTTGTCTCCGAAGAGAACTGAGTAGTATTTTCCGTTTAGGATCACCATTGGATAAAAGAAGTAATTTCTTCACAGCTCCTTCGTCCTCATGGTTTCGTTGAAGATGTCTAGGAAAATGTGTCACCTCAACAAAACAATATGGGCAACAATTTTTTTTTGTCCAACGCCGTTCGTTTTCTATCAAATCAACAGTGTGAACGGTATTATCCTACAAGATATTCATTTAAATTCATGTGAAAAATAATTTCATGAAATTAATTACTTTGATAATAGTCCCAAAGTTATTTAGAATCCTATCGACATTAGTATCAGATAAATTTGTAGGATTGGGTATATGTTGTTGATCGGATGATGTTGTCAAAGAACGTATTCCATTATCCTCGAGTTGACACTAAAACACAATAACATTTTATTTATTATACAGGAATGCCAGGGTCACATTGGACATGATTGTTTGCAGTAGTAACAGCTATGTTTTCATTTATGTAATTAGATTATAATTATGTAGGTACTCTATAATGACGTCCTAGAATGTAGGTAAGTTATGTTCGTTTTCAAAGGTTTATTTTGTATAGACTAATGTAGTTTTCATTTTCATGAGTTTGGAGGTAGACAATGAGAAACTTATAGGAAAATTGCAATTTCTAACTTCCATTATCCGAGTTTAATTTGAAACACGACGTTTGGGTTAATTTGTATTGGTAACGTCAGGGATCACCTACAATTTAGAGTGTAGCCACATTATTGCTGGATCCTCGACCCACGTCGTGCTTGAAATCAACTCCGACAGTAGAAGTCTGAAAGTTTTAATGCACATTTTTTGTCTCCTATTTTTTTTCAATCTCCCGTTATAAGTGATAACCGAAGCGGATTGGACAATTTGCTATTACCTTATTAAGTTAATTAAAAAAAAGAGTTTTTAGTTTGTTCTAGTTATGTACGTACTACTACCTGAAAAGCAACTTACCGAATTATAGATTATAGATGGCATTAGTGGAATGTCTGGGCTTGTAGTAACTTTTCTAGGAGATGTCTAAAAATTGATGAAACTCACAATAGAATTAAAATGTTTGGTCTCCTTAAATATGCAGGGTGTACCACATTAAGAGCTTACCAATTCTTGTAAAGTTGTTACTTCTTCACCGAATTTAATGGGTGTCTTCTACTAGGTAGGTATTCAAAATACACATTCAACGTGAGGATAACTTTATTTTTCTATAGCCGTACGGAAAAATCAATTTTCCGCACCGGTATTCGTGCGGAAAATCAATGTTTCCGCATGTAATATTTTGAAATAAGCAATATCATATGTCACCTTTAGGCTTGAAGTTTTTATTGTAACCGACCTATCGTCTATCGACCTACATTATTGAGGTCGTTCTCAGGATGACATAAAATTCATCTTTACCGTGTAATTAATATAACTAAGAAGAAAAATTATCAACATTATTTCCAACACCAAAGAAGCTAACCATCAAAATATTGCCAATTATTTAATTAATAATGTCTATAATTGTCAGTTTTTGGATACCTACCATGTTAATTACAACAAAAAATGTTTTAAACATTTTTCTATAAAGCTATGTAGTAGTTACTACCTTTTTCCAAATAATCAGTTCCTACTAAATATATAATAGTTTGTTTGTTATAGTTTGATAAAAACTATTAAATTACTACAGCACACCCTCCAACAATAGAAATTGTGACAGTAGTCCTTAATGAGAATCCGCCGTCAGATTTTTTCAAACAGCTCTTGCTGTTGGACATTTTGCTAACTTTTTTCTTCATACACGTTGTATTGAAGAATGATGAAAATCGTTACAGTTAGGTTTTAAGTTATCTCAAATAAGAATTGGTGATGAGTTTTTTTCTGAAAAAAAAAATCCCCAGCAATTTTTGAAATTTGATCCCGTAAATGTGGTCGTTTAGTTGCCCAAATCAAGTTTATCACTAATTGAATCCGAATTTTAAATACCTACCTAACAAAAGAAAGTTTATCAAAATCGGTCAAGATATAAATATTTTAGAAGAGTAAGTAGACACAATGTTTATCTTTATTTATTATCAAATAGGTACCTCAGGATCTAATGAACCATTGGATAAGATCTCACTCTGACAGGCCACTGAATCAGAACAAATTGAATCCGCCGAATCGCTTGGTGAATTATTTTTTTCCAATTCAATAGGTAAATCTAAATCTGTCGAACCATCTTCTGCATCAGGCTGTGAATAAGAGTCTTTGACGTTGAACTGGTTGGTTTTCATATTGCTACCATTGCTATTTGCTGTTTTCCTCTTCAATCTTGAATTATCATTTTTCAATGATTCCGAGTTTTGATTTTCTGAAGAAACTTCAAAAGTACTACGGATCCTCTTTCCAAGACTTACATTCAAATAATCGTTTTCAACATCGTTAAATTCATAAGGATCGTCGCTTTGCTGATCCTCCGTATTAATATTGGTACTACTTGTTTTTTCTGAATGCGTTATAGTTGAATTATTATAATCCGAATATTCTGTCGTTGGTTTTAAACGTTCTGCAGAAACTTCTAAATAACCACAATCTCTCTCTTCATATGATTCACCGCTATAATCTGAACTATGAGGTGAAAAATTATCTGAGGATCCGGAAGAAAAATCCATCGGGCTTTCGGTGCTCTTTTCCACGTAATTAATCTAAGAAAATCAATAATAGTAAATATTTAGTTTTTTATTGATTTAAACTAAATTTTCTGAGGCCAAACTAACAACCTAAAATGGACTATGTTACCATTCCCATACAATCCCTTCCTAGCTGTTCCTCTGACATTAAATATTGTTTTTCTATTTTGGTTTCATAAAGACTGTATAAACATAAGCAATTGCGTTTGCTAAGACGAAATTTTATGAAACGAAAATTTTATTTTTAATTTTTTTTATATTGGCAACAAGAACAAAACAAATGCCATTGCCATGGTCTTGTTCCTTAAGCAAGATCCTCATGGACGCGATTTTTTTTGCGGAATGGTTCCCATTGGTCAATATGATGACATTGACATTGACTTTTTAGAGTTACGGGAGATAAATCGCGATTTATTTCAACTTCTTGTAGCATCGCCAAAAAATTATTTTTTTCTACAAACGTCAGTAAAAGTATAATTTTTAAGGCATGCTGTCAGTGTCTAAAATAATAATTTATGACACTGTTGTTAAAAGTAATAATTCACTTTTTGCACTTGTGTGCAAAGTGATATGACACTGGTGTTAAAAGTAATTTATTACATTATACAATTTATATGACATAAATGTAGGATTTTATTCTGTTGTCTAGGGTTTTGAATAAGTAGGCCACAGGTAATTTTAAAAGGGTGTATAATGATAAAGAGAACAGGTAGGTATATGGTGGCGTCAACAATAGTACAATGTACAATGACTTAATTAGTGGAAACAGCTTACAGTCTTCATCAAACAAGAAACGTCTTGAATAACAACCTTGACGTCGGCGTCTTTTATTATCATTTAAATCGCGTCTCGATCTAAACAATTCGTCTTTAGAAAACAGCAGGAAAAGGACTACTTAGTTTACTGAACGTCTTTTTGTAATTATTCGTCTTTATTATACGTCTTTAATTTGTATAATCAGGATCGCGTCTCGACCGATAAAAATACAAACACGTCGTTCGCCTTCTGGCGCTAGAAGAGAGAGATTCCCCCAATCAGCTCGCTTCCTCTTAAAAACAACGCTTCTAACCACACTCTATTTTCGCGCGGTTTCTTCCCTCTTTGTTTGTTTCCCAATGCTGAAATGAATTCGAAGACAAATAAATGACCACAATGACAGACTAGAGCTCGTCTTTAAAGGGAATATCATATTCGATGGTTCGCAAATAACAAAACCCTTACATATACCGACAAAAATAAAAATGACATTCTTTATTTAAATTGATAAAAATAATAACTTCCTACACTCGGCCATCCGACTTATGAGTCCGCCTCGGACTCACTTCCACAATGGATCCATGGCTTCATAAATTCTGAGCATGTAGATGTCCTAATTGGTCCTTCGTGTATTCCCACCTTTACAACATCATATCTTTCATTATCCTTCACTTTCACGATTTCGTAAGGCCCTAGAAATTTTCTGTTCACCTTGAGACCAACTCCGAACTGAGTTCTTTTGATAGCTACAAGCTCTCCTATCTTGTATTGAGTCGGCTTTTTCCTTCTTAGGTTGTAACCTTTCCTATTTTCTTCTTGAATCTTAACCAAACTTTCTTTGCATTGTTTTCGAAGCTCCTCTCTATTCTCATTAAATTCTTTTCTTGTCTCTTCCTCGATCAATTCTTTTATCTTAATGTCTTATTTCTTCCTCATCTTTATTCCAGTTAAAACCTCGAAGGGTGTCATATTAATGCTCCTCTGAAACGTAGAGTTCAGTGCTCTCTGGACTCTGTCCAAATACTTATACCATTTCGTGGGGTCTTCTAAGCTAAGTTTTGTGAGTACTGGTATAACCGTTCGGTGGATCCTTTCCACTTGGCCATTCCCTCGTGCTACACCAGTGGTGATTGTGACATGTTGAATTTCCTCTTCTGCACAGTAGTCTCTAAATTCGTTTGCCGTGAAAGCTGTACCTTTATCAGTAATAATTCGACATGGATTACCGAAAGTTTTCTGTTGTTTAATAAAGCAATTTATCGTCTCTCTGGCGGTGGTGGATTTAGTTGCGTAAAGCCACGTGAACTTCGTAAAATCATCAATTATCGCTAAAATGTGCTGATAGTTTTTATTGGTGGATGGAATTGGACCAAGATGATCAGCGTGATAAGTGTTCAAGGGGCCTTCTTGTTTAGGGATTGGATGGAGTAATCCCTCCTTTTTCCCTTCTTTTCTGTTTCCCAAAATGCACGGGATGCAGTTGGCTATGACACTTTCGATTTTCTCTTTCAACTTTGATATAAAGACTTCCTTCTTTATTAACTCTTGAGTCTTCTTGGCCGCAAAATGTCCATCTCCATGTATCCTTCGAATAACTTCTGTCTGCATTGCTTTTGGTATCACTGGTAGTTCTTCTCCACTTTCATACTTGTATACTATATCATGTTGAATGAAATAATTGTCATGTTCTTGTCCTGAATTTAGCACTTTCTTAATGGTGACAATATTTTCATCCGTGTCTTGAGCTTGCCTTATTCTTTGCAAGAACCCATCTTCTTCAGTTAAAGTCATCACTATAGGATAACGACTTAGCGCGTCAACGTGCGCCATCCTGCTTCCTTTGCGATGTTCTATCTCGTACTCGTACTCTTCTAAAAGTAATGCCCATCTAGCAACTCTGGTTGACAAGTCTTTCTTTTGCATAGTCTTTTGGAAAGCTGAACAATCCGTAATGATCTTAAATTTGAAACCTAATAAATAAACTCTGAACTTCTTTACCGCATTAATTATCGCCAAGACTTCCAGCTCATATGATGTGTATCTTTCTTCCGCAGGCGATGTTTTTTTACTAAGGTAATAAATCGGATGTAGCTTTGTGTCGACGTCAGATTTCTGCATCAGGCATGCTCCATATCCATGCATGCTGGCGTCGGTATGAAGTTCTGTAGGTAAACCTCTCTTAAAAATATGCAACACTGGATAGCTTGTCAACAGCTCCTTTAATTTCAGAAAAGATTGTCGCTGTTTTCCTTTGAATTCAAATGGTATGTCTCTTCGTAATAAGTCACTCATCGGTTTTGCTATGGTGGAGTAAGAAGGTATGAATTTTCTGAAGTAACCGGTCAGGCCTAAAAATGATTGTAGTTGTTTACTAGTAGTGGGTTCCTTGAAATGTCTTATGGCTAAGGTTTTTTCATCTGATGGTTGTACCTTGCCATCCTCTATTATATAGCCTAAAAATCGTACCCGTTTCTTGAGAAATTGACATTTACTTTTCTTTATTTCCAACCCATAGTTTCGAGCTACTTCTAACACAATTCTTAACCTTTCTATGCCTTCTTCATAAGTACTGCTTGGAATAATTATATCATCCATGTAATAAATCATAATGTTCCTGGCGGTCAATTCTCTGAATATATGATTTATAAATCGTTGGAATACAGCGGGGCTGTTGCACAATCCGAAAGGACACTTTAAAAACTCGAACTGTCCTGATGGAGTAACAAAAGAAGTATATTTACTGCTGTTGTGTATGTACGTTAATGTATTTTACTTTTATAATGAATTTATTTAAGGACTAAAAATACGTACAAATAAAATGACAATTTTATACAATGATAGACATCCGGACATCAGTACCAGTTACTGGTTATAACAAATATTCAACAAGGTAAAAAGGTATGATAAATAAAACTAACTAAATAAGAACATAACATCTCCTTTCCCCCTAACTATAAAACTAAACGTGAAGGAGGCTGTTTAATTCTTGTAGAACGTCTGGGGCCATTTTCAGAACACAAATTTTTTTCATTTGATGATGTTTTAGTACATGAACATGAAGTTTCAGAATTTGGTAATGTCGCATCATTTGGTGAAATATTTGAATTATCGTTATTTATTGAATTGGCATGTGACTTAGTCGGTGTTGATTGTCCTATTTCACGTATCTGATTAATATGTCTACGCCATACTCTTCCATCGTCAAGTTTAACTGAATAATGTAACTTGCCTATTTTTGTTAAGACCTTTCCGAATCTCCATTTTTCATGAAAATAATCTCTCACTGATACCCTAGCTCCTATGCATAAAGATCGGTACTTCTTATTCGCATTTAAGCTTGGGTCATTAAAATATGTGTCCGGTTTCATACAGTCCAATCTAGAACGTATTCGCCTTCCAAACATCAGTTGTGATGGGCTTTCCCCTGTGACTGAATGAGGCGTTTTACGATACTGTATCAAAAATCTTGATAATTCAAGGTTACTATGACCTTTTGAACACATTTTTTTTAAACTATTTTTTAAAATTTGTACGAAACGTTCCGCTTGTCCATTAGTAGCGGGGTGGTACGGAGCCGTTAACTTTTGAAAAATACCATTTTCTTGAAGAAATTGTTTAAATTTATAAGAAGTAAAATTTGATCCATTATCCGAAACAAAAATTTTTGGAATTCCAAATGTAGCGAAAATTGTACGACATTTTTCTATAGTTGTTTCTGTCGACATGTTTTTAACGAAATGAATTTCAGGCCATTTTGTAAATGAATCTACCAAAATAAAGTAATATCCGCCGTTAAAAGGTCCCGCGTAATCTGCATGAACGCGTTCAAAAGGTGTATTAGATTTTTCCCACACATGAGTTTCCGCTTTTTCTGCGTTATTTTTTTGTTTATTACATTCATAACAATTTTTAACTAAAGTTTCAATATCGTTATCAACTCCGGACCACCAGCAATAACTTCTTGCTAAACTTTTCATTTTAACGATTCCAAAATGAGCTGAATGAAGTTCGGAGAGTACTCTCTGACGTAGCACTACGGGAATTACTACCCTCTGTCCACGCATGATACAACCCGATTGTAATGAAAATTCTTCTTGGTCAATATTGAAACGATCATCTTTAGCGACAATGTTACCTGTGCTCAAACCCGTTAATAAATTCAATAATGAAGTATCTTTAGATGTAGCATTTGATAAAATTTCGACCGTAACTGGTAATGTTTCAATTTGGCTAATTTCGAATACATCCGGCTCGTCAAATATTGTGAAATCTTCTGAAATTAACGGTAATCGTGATAAAGCATCCGCATTTCCGTGATTATTTGTACTTTTATACTTTATATCATAGTGAAATGATTGTAAAAATATAGCATAATGTTGCATTCTAGTCGCACTAAGTACAGGTAAACTTTTATGTGGTGCAAATATTTGTAAAAGGGGCTTATGGTCCGTATATAAAGTGAATCTTCTACCACAGAGGAACTGATAGAATTTTTTAACACCATATACCAAACTATAAGCCTCTTTGTCAATTTGTGAATAACGTTGTTGAGTTTTAGTTAACGTTTGACTGGCGAACTGAATAGGCCGTTCTGAACCATCTGGGAACAGATGACTTAATACGGCTCCAACTCCGTATGGTGACGCATCAGTTGCTAAAATTAGTGGTAAACTTGAATCAAAATGACATAAAACTCTTTCAGATTGCATTTCTTGTTTTGCAGTATCAAATGCAGTCTGACACTGACTAGTCCATTTGAATTGGACATCATCTTTTATAAGATTAGTAAGTGGATATAGAATAGTACTTGCATTTTGAAAAAATCTGCGATAATAATTAATTAATCCGATAAATGCCCGTACTTGAGTTTTATTTTCTGGTTTCTGAACTTGTTGAATAGCTTCAATTTTTTTTTCAACTTTTTGTATTCCATTTTTATTTATTCTATATCCGCAATATTCAATTTCATCTGCAAAAAATACACTTTTTTCTAAGTTCACCTTCAAATTATATTCATTTAGTCGGTTTAATACCATCTCTAACCTATCTAAATGCGTTTTTTTATCTGGCCCCGATATTTTAATGTCGTCTAAAAACACTGTACAACCAGGAATATCTTGCAAAATTTGCTCCATTTGGCGTTGCCAAATTGCTGGAGCACTGGCTATACCAAACATTAATCGAGTTGGACGGAATAAACCTTTGTGTGTATTTAGTGTCAGTAAATGACGCATTTCTGATTTAACTTCCAAATGTAAGTAAGCTTTGCTCAAATCTATTTTTGTAAAAATTTTCCCCCCAGCCATTTTAGCAAACAGTTCATCGATTGTAGGTAATGGATGATCATCTACCAAAATATTAGGATTGAGGGTTGTTTTGTAATCCCCACATATACGTATTTGACCATTCGATTTAACCACAGGTACAATTGGTGTGGCCCAATCTGAATAATTCACTTTTTCCAAAATTCCCTGTTGAACTAACGAATTTAATTCTTTTTCGATATCTGTTTGTAATGCAAAAGGTACGTTTCTAGCTTTTATGAAAACCGGTCTAGCATTTTCCTTCAAAAAAATTGATGCTTGAATGTCCTTTATAACACCTATACCAGGTTGAAAAATATTTTTATACTTTGAAATTAAATCAGAAATTTTAATTTGATTTAATGAAACAAGATTGTCATTGACTATATCAACCTTATCAATGTTTTGTAAATTTATTTTTAAAAGTCTTATCCACTCTCGCCCTAGTAATGCATTTCGATCACCGTCAACTACATATAAATTAATGAAGTAATCTATGTTATGATAATTAACTTTCACTGTAATAAAACCCCGTACATTTAACATTGACTTGCAATATGAAATTAATTTCAGTTTTGTAGATTTCAAAACAGAATTACCAAAAAAAATTTCATATTCATTGAAGTTTATAATACTTACTGGAGCCCCACTATCTATTTCCATTTTAATAATCTTGTCATTAATTTTGACGTCTAATATGTATTTGTCTCGAAGAGAACTTGTAAAGTCTTGTTCCTGTAAATCAAAAAGTTCTTGTATGTCATTTGTATCTTGTAATTCCTCAACTTCATGTGTATTCAACGCTTTTTTAACTTTTCTGCATACTTTCTGTAAATGCCCCTTAACTTTACAAAAATTACAAAACAAATTTGGCGTATTACAGTTATTAGCTAAGTGTTCAATAGAACCGCAACGATAACATTTTAGAATTATCTTATTGTTTGGATCTTTTTGACTTGATGTACGGATGTTTTTTGGTGAATTTTTATAATTATTAATAGAGTTCACAGATCCTGAAAAATGTTGCAACTGATTTGCATCCTTTTCGGATAATTCCATCCCTACAGCGATGTCCATAGCTTTTTCTAAAGTTAAATCACGAGTTTCTAGTAATCTGCTTTGTATTCTTTTTGAAAGAAGTCCATAGACAAATTGATTACGCAAAGCAGTTTTCAAGAAATCTCCAAATTTACAGTTTATCGCTAACTTTTGTAACGCATGTAAAAATTCGTTAACATTTTCGCCTTCCTGTTGTCTCCGGCATTGAAATCTGAAAGTCTCAGCGATTTCTAATGGAGCAGGGTCAAAAAATTCTGCCAATGTACTAACAACAATATCATACTGCTGATCTTCTGGACAGGCTGGAGCTAATTTATCACAGAGAATGTCGTAGGTTTCAGCTCCCATATAATGTAAAATATAATGTAATTTCAACTTATCGGGAACCTCAAAAACAGTAAACGCAACTTCGAGACGTTTAACCCATCGACTCCACCTAGTTTGTGTAGCATTAAAAGCCTCTACTGTAAACGAAGAGGTAAGAAATTTTCCTCCTTCAGCCATGACGGTGAGGGTACTTGCACTAGTAACTGTAGTGGTAGCCTCAGATTGTTTTTTATCTCTAGGTCTAGGCATTCAAAAATGTACTTACAGTAATTCTTCTTCTTTTTTTTTATATAAGTACCATCGAAACTTCGTAATTTTTCTTGTAAATGTGTAGATTCATCCCATCCTCGTCGCCAACTGTTGTGTATGTACGTTAATGTATTTTACTTTTATAATGAATTTATTTAAGGACTAAAAATACGTACAAATAAAATGACAATTTTATACAATGATAGACATCCGGACATCAGTACCAGTTACTGGTTATAACAAATATTCAACAAGGTAAAAAGGTATGATAAATAAAACTAACTAAATAAGAACATAACAACTGCTATCTTTGTCTACATCAACGTGAAAAAATCCGTTTTTCAAATCTATAGTGGTAAATATCCTAGCTCCTTCTAGTTTATCCATAACGTCTTCTATTAGTGGTAGCGGAAATCTGTCCTTCACAATTTTGGTATTCAATTTTCTATAGTCGCAGCATATCCTTACAGATCCATCTTTTTTCCGTACCAGTACAATAGGACTTGCGAAATCCGACGAACTCTCTTTGATTATGCCATCTCTCAGCCATTCTTCAATTTGTCTGTCCACTTCAAGTTTTTCTGGTTCTGAAAGTCTTCTTGGTCTCTGATAGACCGGTTCCTCGTCCTTGAGTATAATTTTCATTTTAATATCTGTCGTTTTGGTCTTCTCTGGTTTGTAGTCATTAATCATCTCTGTTATAAGTCTTTTATGGCCTTGGTCTGGAACATGCTCTAGTTCTAAGTCATTGTCGTTAATTTTATTTTCTTCAATAATAATATTCATTAAAAAATTATTCTTTTCTTTTGCGCACACAATTATGCCGTCTTTTGTTATGTGAACTTCAGCTTGATCCAACAGGTTATTTCCCACGATAATCTGGAAATTCGTTGCTTCTTTTGGTATGACATGGAAAAGAATATCAAAAGTCTCATCATTTATTTCAACTTCTTTTCGAAACGATCCCAATGTTTTCACTCTGTTTGATCCCAATCCCTTCACTGTTATTATTTCTTCATCCATTAAAAGGTCCTTAAAATATTTCTCATAAACATCTTCTCTTACTATACTGATATCACTTCCTGTATCAAAAAGTGCAGCAATGCTGGTGTTATCAAATGTTAGGTTGATTGAATTCTTCGGTATAACATCAATAGTTGATACATTAGCGGCGGTTCTCTTTACGTCGATAGTTGTTTTGGAGCAGTGTGATGCTATATGTCCAAATCCATTGCATTTGAAACATTTAACTCCTTTGTTCTTGTCTGGACATTCTCTCGATTTGTGACCTCGGTTGCCACAATTAAAACAGTTATCACTTTTTGGGTATTTATTCTTCTCTTGTTCCTTTTGACCTTTCTTGTCTTCATATTTTCTTTCATCTTTGTATTCCTTTTTATCTTTATTTTCTCTCTGCTTATTGAAGTGATTTTGACCAGCTCCTGGTCTCTTTTTTGCCATACTTTCGTATACTTTAATTTTATCTTTTAATTCTGAAAAATTTTTAGCTCCATAAAGTATAATTTTGTTTGCTGAATCGTCAGGAATTCCGTCTATAATATATTGTATAATAACTTCATTTTCTATATTTCCTCTGCTTCCTAGTTCCCTCATCGTCAAAACATATTCCTGTACACTTTCGTCAAATTTCTTCTTCCTTGACATCAACATTTTATGAATTTGTGCACTACTCACTCTCACTTCAAATTCCTTGATCAATCGACTCTTCAAAAATTTTCCAACTATTTATCCCTTTTTCTGACTGAATATACAGCTTTGCTAGTCCCTTCAGTGATTTTTTGGCAAAGATTAACTTTTGGAGATCATTCCAACCTGTTATCTGAGCTATTTCTTCGAACTCTTCTATCCATCTTTGAATAGGGTAATCATCTTTTCCATCAAACGTTCTTATAGTATCCTCGACGTCTCTAAAGGTTAAGGAAAAATTGTCTCTCTTACTAGGTCTTTGGTATACATTGCCATTCGGGTTTACTTCTGTGTTTTCGTCATCATTTTCTTCGTCATCATTCACTTCATTGTCATCGCCATCGTTTTCGTCTTCTGTGTCCTCCTCTTGTTCTTCGTCTGCCTCTTGATCGTCGTCTCCATACTCAAGATTGGTCAGAAAAGAGCAGATTCGGTCAGCTATCTCTTCCTCAGTACCTTCATAGGTTAAATCAAGAATATTGCTCACAGCAATTAGGTCAGGCAATCTTAATTTGTTATTTACTTCTCTAACTTTTGCCTCATGTTCTCGAGAGTCACTTCTCCATGGAAAGCCTTCAAATTTTCTCAAAGCCTTCCTCGTTTTACGAGGTTCTCCCTCCGTACTATAACATATTAGGTGCAGTGCCTTGACAGCAGTCAAACTGGCGTGCGTCAGCTGATACTCAATTTCGGAAATATTTCCCAATGTAGACATATTCAACACTATTGATTACTTACCAATCACAAAATAACACTTAATATTTACAAAATATTTACCTACTAATGAACAAATTTAAATCAATCACTTTCACTTCACTTTATTCTAAATTCTGTTGATTCACAAACCTTCGAATGTAACTCAAATTGCAACATAAAAGTACTACCCGTACTTTTAATAATTCAAAAAAAATAACGGCGTCTATGCGAAAACTAAATCAACACTCAGCAACAAACAAAAGGGAAGCAAATTGCAATAATCTGGTGCGATTCGGCATAAAGTTTAAGATATTAATTAGTTTAGTAAATTAAGAGTATTTCCCTTAATGAAAAACCTGATAAAAATAACTGAAATTGACTTTCTGACTTGCTTGTTGAATGACTCGACTGTATCAATAATAATTAACTAGTTAACAATCATAAAATTCGACAAAAGAAAACTTAACTTAAACTAACCTAAAGATTACACTTTCGTAAACAAATCAATGTTATTATGTTATTTCAATTAAATCATGAAACAAATTCTTTATAAAACAGCACCTCAATAATATGAACAAAAGAGTGCATATGATTTTTGATTTCAAATTAAAATAAATAAACCACAGAGTCTAAACAGTCTAATTGTCTTCTTATAAAAAAAAACTTCTGGCGACTGGTAACAAAATTGGAAAAACATGCATCCTACCTTGACTTTGGACACATTTTGAACCAACCTTCTTGTTTCATCACTCCACTTAGGGTTCACTACTTTGATGAATCTTCTTATGGGTATTTTCCGGAACTTCACAATGTAACATAACCTCTTTGGTCAAAAATTTGGGGTCCCATTTAATTAATTTCCATTCTTCATATCTTCATTTCTTCATTCTTCATATCTTCTTCTCTTCATTCCTTTATCCCTTTATCCCTTTATCCCGGACGAGCCCCCAAAAATGTAGGATTTTATTCTGTTGTCTAGGGTTTTGAATAAGTAGGCCACAGGTAATTTTAAAAGGGTGTATAATGATAAAGAGAACAGGTAGGTATATGGTGGCGTCAACAATAGTACAATGTACAATGACTTAATTAGTGGAAACAGCTTACAGTCTTCATCAAACAAGAAACGTCTTGAATAACAACCTTGACGTCGGCGTCTTTTATTATCATTTAAATCGCGTCTCGATCTAAACAATTCGTCTTTAGAAAACAGCAGGAAAAGGACTACTTAGTTTACTGAACGTCTTTTTGTAATTATTCGTCTTTATTATACGTCTTTAATTTGTATAATCAGGATCGCGTCTCGACCGATAAAAATACAAACACGTCGTTCGCCTTCTGGCGCTAGAAGAGAGAGATTCCCCCAATCAGCTCGCTTCCTCTTAAAAACAACGCTTCTAACCACACTCTATTTTCGCGCGGTTTCTTCCCTCTTTGTTTGTTTCCCAATGCTGAAATGAATTCGAAGACAAATAAATGACCACAATGACAGACTAGAGCTCGTCTTTAAAGGGAATGGTAGGTGGTAGACGCTTTTTACTCATTGGGCGTCGACCGGTGAGATACCACCATGCCAGAATTGAGTAGCGCTAAGTGGTATCACCAGGTTCCGCTACTGCGCTGGCAGTCCGGTTCCAACAATGAGTAACAGATAGCATGATGGCGCCTCCAGGATCAAAATATTCCGGAGGTAAAATACCCGATCACTCGGATCTCCGGGCGTCGGGTGATCCTGGGGGTCCTTCATGCAAAGATATAAAGAGAAGATCAAAAACTCAACTCAGAATTGATTTTAGCAATATAAGAGGAATAAGTACAAATATGAATTCAGTTCACCAACATCTTGAAGAACAAAGACCTGACATCCTTGTTCTCACTGAAACTAAAATCAGTTCTGCAACACCTATTGTGAACTATCTTTATCCCGGCTATGACCTTCATCACCGATTTCGACATAATTTTGGGATCTGTGTGTACATTAAAAATGACCTTTCATGTCATCGAGAGGGGAAGCTAGAACCAGCGAACCTTGATATCATATGGCTAAAATTCACCTCAAAGTCATCGACCAAGTTTATCTGCTGCCTCTACCGACCGCCAAGTAACACCGATTACCAAAACTTTTTCGCGGCATTATCCGAAAGCTGTGATAGTATACAGTCAAACTATCCACAGGCGGAAATTGTCTTTTTAGGCGATTTCAACGTCCACAATATATCCTGGCTGAAACACCACAACAAAACAGATAACGAAGGCAGAGAAGCAGAAGCTTTTGCCATAAGTTGTGGTCTAACGCAGCTTGTCGATGAACCTACCCGTATCTCAGAAAGGGGCGAATTTGCAGCGCTTTTAGACTTGTTCCTAACCACCAATCCTGACTCGTACACAATTCAAGTAGATGCTCCACTTGGTTCGTCCGATCATAAACTTATAATAACAAAGTGCGAAATGCTCATCCCACCAAGCCTACAACCACTTCCTCGTAAAATGTGGCACTATAAATCGGCAAAATGGAATGACCTAAAACAGTATTACCTGGATTTTCCATGGCAAGAGGTTTGCTTTAAAACAGCTGATCCCACTATTTGCTGTAATGAAATAACACAAGTAATCTTATCTGGAATGGACGCATATATCCCACATACAACTAAACGTAGAGCTAATGCAAAACCTTGGTTCAACAGCCAGTGTGAAACGGCTGTACAGAAAAAACACAGAGCATATAACCTTTGGAAACGACAACAAACCGCTCAAAACCACACAGAATTTATAGAAGCCAGAAATAGTTGCAAAATTACTATTGACTCCGCTAAAGAAACATACAATCAAAGAATAAAAAACAGGTTGCTGAATTGTCCAAGTAGTTCTAGGTCTTTTTGGTCTCTTGCAAAAGCTGTTGGATCTAACTTCACCAAGTCATCCATACCACCACTTACAGATAAAAATAATCACTTAGCCACAACATCAGAGGAAAAAGCCAATATGCTTGCCCAAATGTTTTCCTCCAACTCCAACCTCACAGTGCCAAACGGAAAAACTCCACCGTTCATTGAAAGGGTTTCCCATAGTATGCCAGAGGTACCCTTTTGTCACAGAGAAATACGAAAATCCCTAAAAAAGCTGGATACAAACAAAGCAATGGGTCCGGATGGCATTCCCGCAATAGTACTCAAAAATTGCGCCAACGAACTCACCCCAACTTTCGCAAAATTATTCAATTTGTCTTACAGGCAAGGAGTATATCCATCATCATGGAAGTCTGCCGCAGTACAACCCATTCCTAAGAAAGGAAAAAAGACAGATCCGTTAAACTATAGACCAATTGCCCTACTTCCGGTGATATCAAAAGTAATGGAAAGAGTTCTGAACAATCACCTAACCAAGTACTTGGAAAAGTACAAAATTATCAACGATAAGCAATACGGATTTCGAAAATATAGATCAACTGGCGATTTACTTACATACGTCACTCACTTATGGCAAAAAGCGATTGAGTTGCGGGGTGAAACAAGAACAATTGCCTTAGATATATCTAAAGCATTCGACAAAGTTTGGCATGAAAATCTGCTCAACAAGCTCAAAGCAATGGGATTATCGCCGAAACTTTGCACTTGGTTTGAAAGTTACCTAAAGGACAGATCCATTTATGTTGCACTGGATGGCCAGAACTCCAACTCTTACCAAATAAATGCTGGTGTGCCACAGGGAGCAATCCTTTCGCCAACTCTTTTCCTGATTTACATAAATGACCTCATAGATAAAACAGTAAATCCACTTTATTGCTTTGCAGACGATGGCAATGTAGTCTCCTCACTCATACCACCCACAGGTCTTTCCGCACGTGAATTCCATCATCTTAGACTAACTCAAATATCGCAGATAAATAACGACCTGGAGATAATAGAGGACTGGGGTGACAAAAACCTTGTACAGTTCAACGCACAGAAAACCCAAGCAGCTCTGTTTTCAAAAAAGAACACCACCGGTGAGCCAAACATCATGCTATCTGGAAGTGCTGTCACATTACAGAGTCAGTTGAACATCTTGGGGGTTACTGCAGAGACCAACATGTCTTGGCACAGTCACGTGGCAGATATTGCTAAAAGGGCCTCCCAAAAGCTGGGGGTGCTATTTCGTACAAGACATCTGTACACACCAAGCCAATTGCTGACACTCTACAAAGCCCAGATTCGACCAACTATGGAGTACTGCTCACATATATGGAGTGCAGCACCCAAACATAACTTAATGCTTTTGAATACCGTGCAAAAACGAGCTATCAAGTTGATCAATGACCCCGCACTTACTCGTAACTTGGATGGTCTCGAACATCGCAGATCTGTGGGCGATTTATCTCTCTTCTACAGGTACTATCACGGAAAATGCTCTGAAGAGTTGGCACGTATGATTCCACCGAGAGTAGCACCTACCAGGCGAACCCGTCAAACAGACGGTTACCATGAATTTACTGTCAAACTAGAGGCACCAAGAACCTCATTATATCAGAATTCATATCTCTGGAGAACAGCATCGCTGTGGAATAAACTCCCTGCGACGGTTTTCCCTGCAGGTTACAACCTGAACCGTTTCAAGACCAACATACACCGACATTTCCGCGCACTTGCCGCTTCTCGAGCGTGATAGGACATTTCCTTGCGAATGCGCATATCCGTAAAAAAAAAAAAAAAAAAAAAATAATATCATATTCGATGGTTCGCAAATAACAAAACCCTTACATATACCGGCAAAAATAAGAATGACATTCTTTATTTAAATTGATAAAAATAATAACTTCCTACATAAAAGCCTCGAGATTTACCTGAGTATAATCTTAGAATTACTTGTGTCAAAATCGAGTTGATATTGTATTCTTGCTTATTCACAAAGGTGAATCTCGGGTCAATATTTTATTTCGTATAAATTGTATAAGGTAATAAGTTCATGGGTTTGATTAAGTTTGAAGTTTATTTTCTCCTTTTTAGAGCATTTAAATAGAAGCTTGTTTTTGAAAATGTTTTTTTCTACTCCTATTGAATAATATGTGTATTATTAACGTTTTTTCCTTGAATAATATTAGTCATTATTGTTACCCATTGGCTTATGAATCGTAAGCCAACGGTTTGTGTTTGTGTCCAATAACAGCCCAAGAATTTTCATAACCCAGCAGCTTACAAGGGAATATAACAAAATTTAATTTTTGATTCATAAAATTCTCTCATTAAATACAACTCGAGCAATGGAAATATATATATAATTTTTGACAAATTTGCACTCATGCATTTTTAACTGAAAAAGGCACTCGTGCACTACGTGCACTCATGCTCTTTTTCAACCAAAAATACATTCGAGCAAATTTACCAAAAATTATCAATAATTTCCATTGCACTCGTTATATTACTATTGATAATATTTCTGTCAAAAATTATCCTGATAATTTTTCTGTTAATCTTATATTATGCCAAGAAGAAACCCCAAGAAATCCTACGTAATATAAAAGTTTTGAATATCGAAGATGCAGTTGTTGTAGTTTTAGACGTTTCACCTATTTGGAGTCTTAAAAATTTTCTTCATGAAATTTCCCAACGAATATAACTCGTGCAATGAAAATTATGGGTAATTTTAGACAAATATGCATTAATGCAATTGGAGCCAGTAAAAGCTTTCGTGCACTAAATTGCATTCATGCAAATTTTCCTAAAATTACCGATAATTTTTAATGCACTCGTTATAGTCGTTATATTACATATGGTACCTAATCAAAATTGACAATGTCATTTAAATAAACACAAACAAATCAACGAACGTCATCAAAGAAAAACGCATCACAAATTTAAAAAAGACGAATATTCCCCGGCTATGAAACACCAGCCGCGGCATTAAATCTTGTGCTTTTCTGTCTAGTAAAACAAATAACTATTTTGTACCTGCTGATATTGATTAATATCAACAAACTCTTAACAAAATTGGCGAATTCGCGAATTTCGCATCCATGGGGTCTAGAAAAAAAATGTGGCATTTAAAATTGGCGAAATATGTCATTTACAAAAAAATCGCTTTTCGCGATTTCGCGTGTATGAGGATCTAGCTTAAAGAGGTTTCATTTTTGTACATGCTACGTCATGAAATTTTTAATGTGCTGCCAACTTTAAAAAAAATCAAATTTAAATTTTAAATGAATAGGTATTTATTTTTTCATGGTCCCAGTGTATTCTGTATTTTACGTCTGCGATATTTTAAACAAGTCTCGACATGCAGCATATTAGATAATTGGGACATTTTGGATCAGTTAAAATAGCATCAAAAGTTACGAAAATATTCGTTAACTTTAACTACATTCAAGATAACGAAAGGTAGATAAAAACCAGTTTTTGGATGGATTTATGAATAACGACATTTGTGGTTATTTTCTATGGTTAGAAAGTGATAATGTCGGGACATTAAGTCGAAAATCGCGTGTTTCCAATCAACCAATGTCAAATTAGCCGAAAAAATCGCTAAAGTTATTCGCCGGATATAATAAAGTTCCTTCTTTATCGTTATAAGCTCCGTTATTTCTCATTTTCAGTAGTGCGCATGCTTAAAATCGAAATAGCCACAAAAATCGTTATTAAAAACTAATTTGACTGATCCAAAATCTCCCTATTAAGGTACGTTCGCTATCGCTATTTGAAAAAAAAAAAACAAATAATCGGGGACTCCTCCCGAGATGGTCGGGATTCTACCAAAAATAATAGCTGCGGCCCCCTGCCACTACAAACGCAAGCCCTTAAGGCCGAAACACATAGTTTTGCATAACGCATAGCTTAGCGCATAGCATAAGCTCCAACCAATCATATGTTGTTTTTGAGGTGACCTGATTTTCAGCTGACAGTTTGGCATAAAAATTTCCATTAGAATAAATACTCATGCGCTATGCTAGGCGTTATGCAAAACCGTGTGCTTCGGCCTTTACTGAAGCCTAAGACGAAGACATGCCGCTATCAGGATTACGCAGGGCCTTGCGATAAAATAATACCTATTTCATTAAAATGTTTATTTTTTTCACGTACCTTCCCTTTTTTCCTCAGTTTGTATTGTTCTTTTGCCATTTGTACCATCTTTTGGCCCCTACTTCCCATTTTTGAATAAACACTCGCACGTATTAATAACAAAATAAACAATGCGTATCACTGACACCATAGAACTGGCATAGAACACCACACGAAGCCAAATCTCGAGACAATTTCGCCACACCCAGCGTCTTTTACCTATGTGGCAACACTGTTGGGCTCACCAACCCACTTATTACATAAAATATGTATTAAGGTGGGCTCACCAAAGCACAGGACTCACGAATAGACCAATTTCACATAAAAAATTTATTAGCAGCAATTTCTTACCCCTCCAAGTGTGCCTTGAGTAAAAATAACCCAAATTTTGCGTTTCTTTTGATTATACACCTCTATCTGCCTTAGAATTACCGGGTGCACAAACGACCCGACCATGTGGCGGGCTAACAATTATACCATAAAACAATATATATATATATATATATATATATATATATATATATATATATATATATATATATATATATATATATATATATATATTTAAATCCCAATATCTATGGAGCGTCCTTTCATGAAACATGAATATAGCGTCCAACAGAGTATACCGCCATAACTGCTCTCACTTAAACGTTAAACGGGCGTCCATTCATTCTGTGTTGCATATAGCGTCCGCTAGATACGGGTATTTTATACTGAGATGTTTGAAGCGCCCGTATATAGAAAAACCCGTTAAAATATGCATCATTCTGGCGTCCCACAGTGTTGCAAAGTTTATCACTCATAAAAAAGAATAATTAATGGTTAACACTACTCCTGTAACTTCAGCCAAGCGTCCTTATGCTCAGAATCACCTGCGTTGTTTGATAAAATGATAAATTCATGAAATTGAACACAGATACTTTTTTGTTTAATTTTTTATTATTAATTTATTTCTCAACTTTTATGTATTATGTAGTCGACACACTTCAAATTAAAATGAAAAGCTAATAATTCTTAATGATTCTCAATTCTAAAAACTTATAAGATTTCTACGTTTTACTTGAATTACAATGCCTAAACATGCGTTTTTTAAATTGTTTTAGATAAGTTGCATTTGAAAGGCATATGAAAGAATAAAAGAATGAAAAATTAAAATTATAAAAGAACAGAAGAATGGGAGAATAAAAAATCACATAAAGTTTAATTAATTGATAAAACTTCCAGTGTAAAAATAAATTTCATTCCGTTATAATAAAACAAAAGTACATACGGCATCATATACGTGCCCGTCGTCAATTGCTGTTTTTTTTTTACTTTTTGGAGTAAAAATTTTGAACACAGACCTTAATTTTTAGCCAGTCCTTGTTATCATACAAACCGGGGTATTTCTCCTTGAGAGCGTCACATTCTGTTCTCTTCGGAGCTTTCTTTTTTTTGATGCTTTTAGAGAAGTACTTACGCAATGTCGATTTTTGCTCTTCTGTCCATGGCACTAAAATCCACTTTGTTTTTGCAGCAACGTCTGATTTTGAAGCCCTTTTCACTTCGGTTGAAATAGATTCTTGAAAATTAACATCGTTCATCTCTACAGCTTTGCTAGTACTTGCCACCACCTGGGGAAGAGGCGGAGGCTCTTTTTCATCATCATTGTCATCGATGTCAATCTCGAGGTCAACATCTATTTGATCCAGAGATTTGCCTTTATATTCTGAAGCTCCTCCTTTTTCCATTAAAAGTAGCAGCTTGGCCATCTTAGCTGTGTGAAAAATATCGTCGGGAAGCCTGTAGGATCCTCGATGTACACCAACGGTATGGCCCATAAAAGTGGACAATTGCTCGATATCATTTTCTGACATATTTAAAACTTGCGTTAAGGTGGCAAGATGTTTTCTGAGCTTTGTTGCCGTAATTGCATCGGGATTACTCGCCCCACAAGATATAGCATACTTTCTAATAATCTTATAACCATAAATTGGACAGCTTGTGCCTGGATGTCCAAACAAGTAGGTATTATTTTTCGTCATATACTTGTTCCTATAGTTCAAGAGGATTTTTATATGATCTTGCACGTCCTCGCTAAATAGAACAGGCACCCCTCTTCCCCTTTTTCCTCTAATCACGACCCTTTTAAACCTCTGAAGTAAAAATTTTTCTGAGGGGGACACAATATCAGAAAATTCCTCATAGTTTTGTGATTGCGCAGAGTTGTTTTCATAAAGGTACAAGGGTAATCGTAGCTCACCAGGCATTCTTCGGTTAAGTAAAAGAAGACGACAATAGATGGTTTCTAATAACGTCAAATAGGCGGACTTATCGGTATTATTTCCTAACGTGGCAATGGCAGAGTTTGCTTTGGCGATTAGGAAGTCACGTAATTTCTTAAGATCACTTGCTAGAGGAACTAATGTTAATTTGTTCCATTTTTTCACTGATAAGTCGTTAGCGGCTTGAGAGGATATCTCAAAACGCCAATGGCTATCGATTATCTGTATGTGTTTTCAAATCTGTTTCTGCACTTGCCGCCTCGATAGAACCATATACGCTTTTTCTCTTTAGGGCAAAAACAATAGCAATTTCACAGCACTGTTTAAGGTTTGTGCCCATATTTAGGGCCGTGGATGCAGATTTGTAATGCTCCTCTTTTTCATCATATTGACCAACATTTTTAGTTGCTGCTACGAGTAAATCAAAATGTTGTGGTTTGAGAGCATCAAACAAGTTTTTTATATTCGAGTCTTTTTTTTTTATTTCTATTAAAAGTCTGGCAAGCTCTCGCATCTTTCTTGAAGTTACATTGATAAAATGTTTTTCTCGATGAGTCTTTAAATATCTCGTACCATAGGCACAAATCAAAATATCCTTCTTGGCAGTAAGGGATATTTCATCAGGCCTCATGCGAGGAAAAACTGTCTCAACTAGTTGTTTGTCGACATCATGATTAATATGTTTTAGTAAAAAATTTTGTCCATCAGCTTGATGGGCGCCTTTAGCACCAACGCAAGCTTTCCTATGCCTCCACAGTTGTTTGCGTGAGTAAAAACCCCTACAGTTAGAGCATGGCAAAACATCTGCATTACCAGTTTTAACTGATTTTTTTACGTTGCTGCTCATCAAAAAGTTTCCTTTCTTTCGAAGAATGCTAAGCAGATGTTTTCTCTCACAAGACCCTGAAGGAAGAGACGATATCTTTTGCACCTCTATTTCACTTTTATGGTTTCTTTTAATATGTCGTGCAAAGTTCAAAACATAGCATTCACAAAAAAAGCAGAAGTCCTTTTTCTTGTTTCCTTTGCGAACGTCCCCGTTGGATTTTTTTGTACCCAATTCATCCTCGGGTAGATTTTGTTCATTGTTCTCTTCTAATTCTTCTTGAACTTTAGACCTTTCCTCGGATTTTTCCATGCTTTCATTCTCGCCTCCTTCGTCACTCATCTGTAAAATAGAACAAATACAAGAAATAATAATTCATTGTGGCATTACCAAGTAAATGATTTTTTTTGAGTGAACATAAAGAACACACAGAAAAAGCTTCATCAGTGAGGTAATCACAAACATTTTAGGGTTTAGGCCAGACTATAAAAATAAAGATAGGTACCTCATTTTCTTCAGAGTTCTCATCGCTATCTGAGATTGTGTAATCGGGATCTTTCAATGACTACGTTTATAACGTGCCGTTTCAATGCGATCGGACCGATCCGATCGAACCAAGGTCAAGTCAATTCTGTTTACCAACACCAAATCCTTAAATCCTATTTTAAGGAATCGAGGAATCCGTAATTTCAAACGGATAGGATTTGACAAAGACAAGTAGATAAATAAAAGAGATAATAATCTCTCTAGTTTTTTCATTGAACTTCAAATGAATAAAATTACGTGTTGAGTTCACTGGCTTTACCTGAAATAAAACATAACCACAATTCAGTTTGTTTAGTGTTTTTGTTTTTTCTTATAAATTTTCTTTTGCTATTTAAGAATTATTATAATTTATTGAATATCAAATATTCAATAATATGAAAAACCGTGCACAAAAAACGATTTCTTCTGCTTTCTTCCAAATCGCACATTGGAGAAGTAATTTTCGAATGAGGCTAAAAAAACGGTACATTTTCAATAGCAGAATCAGAAGAAGGAATTTGGTACTTGCAAGGTAAAAAATTTCGGGTATTTTCTGTGCATTCCTTTCTTTAATCTGTTTAAATTTAATTTCTAGTGCCATCTATATAAAACATTTGATGAATAAAAAAAAAGAACTTCAAGGGGACCCATAAAGAAAAGATCTTTTGACTGGTGGGAGAATGTTATCGAAGCTGGAAAACTATCCAATGAAGAATGGCTGGAACATTTTAGGATGTCATCTCCCACCTTTGACATCATATGCGCAAAACTTAAAGATGCTTTAGCACCAAAAGAGCATGGGCTACATGTTTTTTGGAAACAAAAAAAAGCTCTTTCTGTAAGAAAGAAAGTGGCGGTATGTCTATATTATTTAGCTAGTTGTGCTGAATACAGGGTGGTAGGCAATCAATTTGGAATCCACAAGGCCACTGTCTGCAAGACAGTTTATGAAGTGGTTGAAAAAATAACCAAGGTTCTGGGTCCGCAGTTTTTAAAGTTCCCAAATAATGAGTTGGCATTGGAAAATGCTCAGATGTTTGAAAGACGCAGTCACATTCCTAATATCATTGGTGCCATTGATGGGACCCATATTCCAATTCTACCCCCTTCAGAAGGATATCGGGATTTTATAAACAGGAAAGGTTGGGCTTCATTTATTCTACAAGGAGTCGTGGATGCCAACTACAAGTTTATAGATATTTCCATAAAACAGCCTGGAGGTAGTCATGACGCTGCAGCTCTGGCGTCCTCAAAACTGTATAGGAATATACGTAATGTGTTTCCACAGGTAAGGGATTGTTAATTTTTCGCATTGTTGTAAAATGTATCATAACACCACTATGCACAATATTTTGAAAAATACAGTGGGCTATGATAAATTTTCTATCAATACATAAATAAAAATAGTGAAAATTGAAAGTGAATTAGGTATTTATCGATTTAAGGGAACTGTTAATGTAGGAGACAATAATCTCCCATTTATAATAATCGGTGATCCAGCCTACCCCTTGTTACCATGGCTTTTGAAATGATACAGTGGCCCAAATTTAACCCCTGAAGAGGAATCGTTCAACGTACATTTAAACTCTGCAAGAGTTGTTGTTGAAATTGCTTTTGGACGGCTTAAAGCTAGATGGAGGCGTATTCTAAAACGCCTCGATGTGCATTATTCCTTTGCACCAAATATTATTGCTGCATGTTGTATTCTCCACAATATTCTGGAAATACATAAGGAAGATTTCAATGGAAACTGGCTTAGAGCAGTCAATGATGCGAATTTAATTTTCAATGAACCTAATCCAGCAAATAATAATAGGAATGAGTATGAAGGATACAATATGAGGATTTTTTTGACCGAATATTTGAGGGAAAATTTCCCACTACTTATATCTCAACATAATATTTAAGAAATATGGAGATGTAGAATAAAACTATTTGTTTCTAGGAAATTGCTGTTTATTATTATTTATTAGCAAAACTAAATACGTATTCAATATACAAAAACAAACAAAACTTGAAAAAATAATGTAAACATAATTATATAACAAATAATATAAACATCCACTTAACCTTAAGAACACTGAAAAAAGGAACTTCATTCAGAAAAAATAACACAAAGGAACATTCTACATCACAAAAAAAAAAAATTAAATTGTAACAAAAAAAAAGTGAATTCTAATTAAAAAAAAAAATTTAATTGAAAAAAAAAAATTCCCCCAAAAAAAAAAACTTATACTTATAGAAAAAAACAAACAAAACTTGAAGAAATAATGTAAACATAATTATATAACAAATAATATAAACATCCACTTAACCTAAAGAACACTGAAAAAAGGAACTTCATTCCAAAAAAATAACAAAAAGGAACTTTCTACATCACAAAAAAAAAATAATTAAATTCTAACGAAAAAAAGTTTATTCTAATTAAAAAAATAATTTAATTGAAAAAAAAAATATTTCCCCATTTTCCCCCAAAAAAAAAATTTATACTTATAGAAAAAAAAGCAAATACAGGGTGTGTCTTAATAGAAAGTGACCGATTTCAAATGCTTATAACTTTTAAACCAGGTGTGCGAGCTACCTGCGATTTGCGCCATCCGTCTTCTCTTGGTCTAAAGTTTTTTTCAGTTGGATGCAAATATTTTACACATTTATATAGAGCGAGGAAAAAAAATGCTGTTTTTCAACATCGAAATTCTTCACTATTTTTAATGGCACACCCCATACGTTCCAACGTGAATAGAAAGAGTTGTGAACAAGGTATCGATGTACCAATAAACATCGGGCATATAATTTGATGTTTCAACTTTAAAAAATAAAAATACATATAGCTTTTGTTGCGTTGCTTGTCATTTTTGGAAAACTTAAACAAACATTTGATTTTTTTCTGTTCCATTCAATTTGCAATTGACTAAAAAATTTTTTAGGCCAAGAGATGTCGAATGGCGCAAACCGCAGGTAGCTAGCACAACTGGTTTAGAAGTTATAAGCATTAAAAATTGGTCAGTTTCTATTGGGACACCCTGTAAATTGAATAAACTATGAGTCCGAATCAGAATTTGACCGAGTGCGACTTCCCAAAAGACCCCTTACCAACATCGAGGTGCACTCTTTCAATGTTGCATCACTGCTTCTCATCATCTCCCGCATAAACTCCCTGTCATTCGCTGCTTCTTTCCGATTCTCTTCCAGCATGGTTTGCAGAAGACTTAAACCATCGTCTGCTTTTTCAGTCGTCTTTTTCTTCTTCCCTTTCCCCTTACCAGCAGTATTAAATTGGACTTTGGGAGCAGCAGTGGGAGTAGTAGTAGCAGAGGGAGTGGAAGAAGCAGAGGGAGTGGAAGAAACAGCGGTAGTTGAAGCTTTGCATGATGGAAGAGTTGGTATGACCAATCTTTTGATTCCAGGTTCATTCGAACAACCTGGAATTGCCCCATCAATATCTGGCTGGTCATCAAAATCTTCCATCACTATTTCAATCTCCGAGATATCCATTGGGGGCACATTTTCATTATTGACTAAAATAATATTTGATTTAGTTGATATTTGTTGAAAAGTACCTTTTTTCATAGACAAAATCAAAATACATAAAATATGTGAAATCTTTTTGGGAACAGCTTGAGGTACCTAATAGGCAACTGGAAAAGTTAATAGAGAATAGTTTCTGTACTGACCAAAATGCCTCAGGCAGGATGTTATTGTTTCAAGCAGTTACATAATTATTCTAGTTACTCACTTTCTGGCTCGCTTTCTGCTAAACTCTCAAATCCAATTGCTGGTGTATCACCAAGGCTTTCTGCTTGTGGCCTGGAGCCTAATATTGCATCGAGTTCTTCAAAGTATTCGAATTTGTAAGGCTGATTCCCACTGATGGCATTATGCCTCTTACATTTGTAGTACTCAGCTGAAATAATAAATTGGTATATCAATACAATATTTGAAAAACCAAAGTGTAAAAATTTTTAGAATTGATCTCGAAATTGATTTTATTGAGAATGAGAAATACATGCACAACTGACAGAAAGAAAAATTGCCTCAACTTTTTACTATGTGTATTGGTAGAGCTATGTATGTACTTACCTACTTGAAAAAATGTAAATTTATGTAAATTTGACTTACCTTTCAAATTTTTATATTTTACTAATAACTGGCTCACATCCCTGCAAAATCCCATATATAGGGTGGTCCAAAAAAAACCGGAATTTTGTTTTTGAGCTGTAACTTTTTTATTTGTTGACCAATTTTCTTTTGTTTTAGCTTGTTTGAAAGAGAAATGAACAGACTAACGAATCACGGTAAAACTTTTGACATTTGCAAGAAATCCAAAATGGTGGACTCCTTCAAAAATTGCCTAGTTTTGGATAGCGCTGAAACTTTTTTGTGATAACCTGTATAAGTTTTTTTAATAAATTCTTAAAGTTCATCATTTTGCGAACATTTTAAGACCTCGACAGAAAAAATCGGTTGAAAACTAAGTGAAATATTGAATTTTTTGTAATATCGAATTTCAATGTTTTATATTGACAGCAAAATCTAGGATATGCTATTTCAGCTAGAATTTTTTTTTTCTACTCGACATATTTCTTCTATTTCGGGCTTGTTCGAAAGATAAATAGGTAGGATAAGGATTCGAAATGAAGATTTTGACTGTTGAGGAAAAATTAAAGATTTCCCAGTTCCTTTAATGTAGCCAATTTTCAAAAAGTTGACGATAAGTTTTCTAACAATACGACTAATATTTTTATTTATAAATTCTAAAAAATAAAGTAAACATGTTTAAGGGGCAAGAGGCGATATGCCCTCCATGGGCCTCAACAACCCATGCTAAACGTCTACGCCAAGAATCGATAGAATTGGCAGCTCTTCTAAATTATTGAACGCAGTCCCATTTCCGTGGACTTTTTCTTCCAAGTTCCCCTATAAAAAGTACTCGCAGGGATTCAAATCTGGGCTATAAGGCGGCCAGTCAACGGGCTCTATGAAATTCGCAACTTGCTCTCTTAGATAGTTGATAGTAAAGAATAATTAAAAGTGATTTAATGCTGAAGCATGTTAAACGGGACTACACATTTAAACTGTCCTACTTAATAGATTCAGAGCCCGTGCTGAAATCCGAAAAATTTGGTTCAGTGATGGGAACATTTTTACCTTATCCGGAGTAAAGAATTCGCAAAAAGACCAACTACGAATTTCCCTCCAAGGTCGAAAAGCAGATAAAGGAAGAGAAAAATTCAGCAGTTATTAAATGGTATCTATCTGCAGCCATTTCTCGGAGCCACAAAGCACAACTAATTGTTATCGACCAAGGAGTTCGCTTGGATTTACGCAAGTATTGTCACTTGCGTTCGCCATATGCTATCCGAAAGAACCTTGATCCGAAATTGAACAGCTCACACCTCAAGACTACACTTTTATGCAGGTAATTTTATAACTTACCTAGTTATCATTCATTTATTGTTCAGATTTTGGTTCTCACAAAAACTTTGATAAAATTGTACGGTTTTGTATTTCTCTTTTTATGAGATAAAGATGATAAATACTGTTTGTATATAAGCTGGATCCAGGTGACATAATAGCCACTTTACTATCAACTATCTAAGAGAGCAAGTTGCGAATTTCATAGAGCCCGTTGACTGGCCGCCTTATAGCCCAGATTTGAATCCCTGCGATTACTTTTTATAGGGGGACTTGGAAGAAAAAGTCCACGGAAATGGGGCTACCTTCGATAATTTAGAAGAGCTGCGCAACCAAATCATTGAGTATTGGGGGGAACTGCTGGAACAACCTAACATTGACAATTCTATCGATTCTTGGCGTAGACGTTTAGCATGGGTTGTTGAGGACCACGGAGGGCATATCGCCTCTTGTCCCTAAATGTGTTTACTTTATTTTTTTAAAATTTATAAATAAAAATATTAAGTAGTCGTATTGTTAGAAAACTTATCGTTGACTTTTTCAAAATTGGCTATGTTAAAGGAACTGGGAAATCTTTAGTTTCTCCTCAACAGTCAAAATCTTCATTTCGAATCCTTATCCTATCTATTTATCTTTCGAACAAGCCCGAAATAGAAAAAATATGTCGAGTAGAAAAAAAAATTCTAGCTGAAATAGCATATCCTAGATTTTGCTGTCAATATAAAAAATTGAAATTCAATATTACAAAAATTCAATATTTCACTTAGTTTTCAACCGATTTTTTCTGTCGAGGTCTTAAAATGTTCGCAAAATGATGAACTTTAAGAATTTATTAAAAAAACTTATACAGGGTGTCACAAAAAAGTTCCAACGCTATCCAAAACTAGGCAATTTTTGAAGGAGTCCGCCATTTTGGATTTTTTTCAAATGTCAAAAGTTTCACTCTGATTCGTTAGCCTGTTCATTTCTCTTTCAAACAAGCCAAAACAAAAGAAAATTGGTCAACAAATAAAAAAGTTACAGCTCAAAAACAAAATTCCGGTTTTTTTTGGACCACCCTATATTTCAAAGGTCCTATTAAGGATTTGAAAATATCCGAAGTTCTAATACGTTTTCCATCCATTAATCCTAGAACATGCTTTTCTCCAATTAATTGGAGAAAAGCTCTAACTTCTACTGGGGACCATATATTTCTTTTCTTTGATTGGGGATGGGAAACTTCATACGACTGGGGGTGGGAAGGCTGAGACATTTCAACAAAAAAAAACACAAAACTAAAACCGGCATCAACGAAAAATAAAAATTGTTGTTTGTTTTGTGATTAATTATTATTTCCAAACTGAGGTTAAGTTAACGTAGTCTGCGCGCTCTTCTTTTTAGTCAAACTTCGAATCCGCGTCTTTTACGTCTTTTTCGGCATTCTGTACATCCACTGCCTCCTATAGTTAACAAGCCATGAAGTTGGAAATGACGGCAACGTCGCGTATGGTGATATTTTGTTATTGGGTTATGTGTTTCTGTGTATTGCTTTCATTGTGTATTGTTGCAATTTAGTATTTTTATGGGCATTATTGACGAAAAAGTGGATAGAAACACACCAATATATTGCCCATATTTAGTTGATACCTGTTCCTTTGTGCTTTGATTACTAATTTTTAGCAAATGAGTACAGGAGCAAAAATGAAGGTAAGGTAAGGTAAAACAATAAAAACAATATTAATATTTGTCTGCAAGAGCATAGGTCTCGATATATTACCTAAGATATTTAAACTTGTTCTAAATGCCATGAAACTACTGTGTTCCTGGGTGCAAATCGAACTATTAGGAGTTCCTTAAAAACTGAAGAAATGCAAACATTTTTATTTCCAAAAAAATTCTGAAGTGCAAAAAATGTGGATGAAAGGAATACACCAAGATAATTATACCCGAGATTATACAATAACGAAAAATTCTGTGGTGTGTTGTAAGCATTTTGAAGAAACCGAAATAATTAGATTTGAAACAAACAAGGATAAAGGCGTAGTTCGAGAGTTCAAACTAAAACGTCCAACTCTTAAAAGTAGGTACCAGGTACCTCTTATTTTCGAAAATCAGCTCAAGTATTTGAATGGACCTGCCTTCCGAAAAAATCCCGAAGAAAGAAAAAGTTAGATTTTCAAAAGACATACTGAAACATAACACTTTAGACTCTAGAAATATATTCATTTAAATCAATTATTTACTGTTCTTATTTACACAAATAGTTAAATTATTCATTGAATTACTGTTTTTGGCCCTTTAGTACAATAAATTATGCATTTTTTGTGATTCATATTAATAAAATAAAAAATATATATTTATACAAACAAACACCACCAGCACCACTTGGCGGTAAGATTGCGGTGTTGCCTTTTTAACTTCATGGCTTGTTAAATGTAGGAGGCTGTGGTACATCCGATCGGAGCGCTGCATCGGATCGAGTGAATTCAAACCCACCAAAATAAAGGATTGGCCTTGGCCTGGCGAATCCGATCGAAAATGGATCGCGTGTGTTTACAACGCGAATTTCAAGCGGATGCAGTTCCATCGGATCGGTCCGATCGCATTGAAACGGCACGTTATAAACGTAGTCAATGAATCGTCTGCAGGACTAAATGTATAAATGTCCTAAAACATAAAAATACTAAAGGTCATTCTTAATGTTTTTGAAAGGTGCAAGGAAGTCTGGATATACAAGGTGTTCATTTCAAAACTTACCACTCCTATTATCTCGGCATTGGCATTTTTTTGAAAAAATTCCCGAAACACGTCCCCTATAATTTGGAGGACGATGAGTTTTAATGCAAAATTTACCCCCTCTCCTTCAACCCCCTAGCCCCCAGAGCTACCCCGTCAAAAATCCTAAATAGGAAAGGGGGTCAAGTGATACATCATTTGAAAGGGTTTTCAATTTCATACATTTTGGTACTAAATTTTGTGAAATCACTTGCACCCTTAACAAGCTAGGTCCCTTTTATTTTCCTCAATTTTTCTTTATTACAGTGTTTCTAAGAATGGATTTTATGAGCAAAAATGAATTTAGGGGCTTTAAAGAGTGTAGATAAGCTTTCCATGAAAACCCACCCTCCTCCAAATTATAGTTGAAGTGTTTCGGGAAGCTTTTCAAAAATTTTTCAATTTCGACATACTATCCGTATTATCTAGGAATTGAAAAATTTTTGAAAAAATTCCCAAAACACGTCAACTATAATTTGGAGGGGGGTGGGTTTTTAGGCAAAACTTACCTCCTTTGTTATAAAGCCCTAAATTCATTTCTGCTCATGAAATCCATTCTTAAAAACACTGTAATAAAGAAAAATTGATGAAAATAAAAGGGACCTACCTTGTTGAGGGTGCAAGTAATTTCACAAAAACTAGTATCAAAATGTATGAAATTGAAAACCCTTTCAAATGATGTATCACTCGGCCCCCCTTCCCATTTAGGATTTTTAACCGGGTAGCTCTGGTGGT